GCAAATAACGTGTGTGTAATTTGAATCGCTTATGTAAATGTTAATTATGTAAATTTATCGAGTTCATACAAAATTCTTAAGTTCAAATAAAGTTTTATTTTCAATTTAATCCAGGTTTTTTTGTAAGTAGACAAATATAACTCAAAAGTACTTACTGTATTTTAGAATTAGATAATTTTGAAAATATATCAATGATTCATACAAGACGATTATAAAAAGCTTACAAAAATAATAAAACCTAAAAGTTGGATCATTGTTTCATATATATTATAATTTATTTTGAAATATATTATTTTGAAATTCATATATATTATATTTTATGACTATTATAAGTCATAAATTTTCCACTTAGAGCGTTTATTATAAAACATAAACTAAAGGTATTTGGGGAAGAATAAGGTTTATACTTCAGTCTATTTAGAATTATTTGAGACATTGAAATGGAATTCTTAAATATATTTTTTAAACAAATAAATTTAGGGGCTCCAGTATAATAGACGTTAACATAGCGCTGCAATAAAAAAAGCTTATTTCTTCATATAAAATAAATAATATAATCTTCATATAAAAATAATTGTAGTAAAAACTTTCAAAATGCTATGATTTTTCTGTGCAGTCAGGCGTTTTACACATAAAACTTAGCTTCAAAGATGTGTTATAAATACGCATCAGAAATACAGACATCTTTAATATTTGTTTTCTAGGATTGGTTCTATATCTAAATCGCCTAACTGCATAGCAAATATTTAGCTATTGACAGTTTTTGTTACCAAGAAAGCAGCGTAAGAAGAACTGATCAAATTTTTATGAAAAAAGGTCTAGCGGTTTCGGAGATCTAGTAAAAAAAAGTAAAAAACAATGCCATCTGGCGGTCAAAAATGATCATTAGACATATGCACATCAAATTATCACTTAATTTATAGAGATTTCAACAATAAGTATTTACAATAAGTTTACATTCCTATAGGTTCCGTACCAATACTTATCCGTTAGACAGCGGCGCGGCGCGGCACTTACCCGCTTCGATATTTCGAATCTATGCAGTTAAAGCAGTACTATTGCTTTGAAAATAAGTTCAGAATTTCCAAAATATTTCAAAATACATTTTTCTTCAAAAAGTCTTTTTTTTCAAAAAAAAGTAAATTTTTGCCAAAAATTTATAGTTTCTCAAAAATCTAATTTTTCAGAGTAATTTTTTTTTCAAAAATGTTAATCTTTTAAAAAAACAATAATTTTTGGTACGGGAAGTTCCAGCCATTTGCCTAGGCACAATGCCATGCCCCCCACTAGTTTAAGTTAGTATTTTCCGTTTTTTAAATACACGCCCATTAGATATGCTTTTACTCTTACGTCAAATTCGAACGTAAAGCGAACGAAGTCGGAATTTGTATTATATTATTATACTTTTAACATTTTAATAGTTTAAAATGCATCTCATGAGTATAAATGAGTTGAAAGCTATAACTTGCTTTTAAGGAATATACAGTACAATTCAGTGACTTATGAAAATTAAGGTATTTATAAAAGTACTATGATGCAGTATGTCGTGTGGTATAAAAAATCGTTTTTTATTACCATTAGCGCATCCTTGGCTGCATTTTGGAACACACATACGTCCTGTGTTGTCCAGTACATATCCTTCGTGGCACGAGCAACGGTCTCCGTAGCAGACCCCGTTGAGGCAGCCGATGGGGCAGGTCGGATGGCAGAAGCCAGCCAAGTCCTGAGCGTGGTCCGGGTAGCATTTGCACTTGTTAGGGCCCACACAACGGGCGTTTATGCATTCAGGTTCACATATCGGGTCGCATTTTGTGAAAACATGGGGATTGCGTTCGAAGCCATCGCAGCAGACTTGGATTCGGCTGTATAAACCGCTAGACTGATTGGGATAATCAGATCACAATGAGGAAGCAAATTATGAATAAATTTAGACAACACTACTGGCTAATAGGAAGAAAATCTAAAATGTCATACAACAATAAATTACTAATATATAAGTCAGTAATTATACCGCTATGGACTTATGGTATTCAACTATGGGGATGTGCAAGCACGTCCAGCATAAAGATTATCCAGCGAACTCAAAATAAAATTTTAAGAGCAATAGTTAATGCACCATGGTACGTTTCCAATAACACTATTCATTCAGATTTAAACATACTGACCGTAAAAGAAGTAATTCAGCAAAGAAGCAATTCATACCATATTAGATTAGACCAACATCCAAATCCAGCCATGCAATTTTTTTTTTTTTTTTTTTTTAATTAAATTTATTTATATATATATACATTATTTTCATATCTCAGTCAGGCAGAGTTGCCTGGTATGAGAGATTATGAAAACAGTTTTCATATAATATATACATTTCATTTGACTATAATAATCTATTTCATTAATATAATATCTATATATATAACTAAAAATATCTTTATATATCACTCAATTAATAAAAATCATGATCCAACTAGAAGGCTCAAAAGAAAATGGCCAGAAGATCTATTAACTTAATTTAAGCTCTGTTATATTACTAACATAGATTATTTATTAACATAGATATATTTTATTAACATTGATTTATTTTATTAACATAGATTATCTACAGGGGAATCTCTTCAGTGGAAGATACCTCTAAATGTCATATTTAATGGATCACATAGGCTGATAGAAATTTGTATTTCGGATTGATCACAATGAAATCAAAATCTGTATATTTTTGAGGATTGATATGGCAAAAATGAAAAAGTATTGTAAAGATTGAGAAATAAACGAAATAGGTATATAAATATGAAATGGAAGGAAACTGTATCAGACCCAATTTATCAATAGCGGCTATTTTTCGCCAAATTGCCGAAGGAAAAAATAGGACTGAAACAACAATAATAACAAAAAATGTAGATGTTAAATGTAAATGAAAATTAAAATCCGAGGAACAGCACACGAAAGCAATGAAGCACAAGTTTGAGAATTGAAATTGATTAACAAACAAATAGGGAAAAATTAAATGTGGTGCTTTCATATCACATACCTGCCGTAAAATAGAATCCTGACAATAATATTTTAGAGTAAATAATGTTCATGATGTTTGTTATAATAATGGGCCATTTCTCCGGTACAATTGATTGTAATATAGCGTTGTTATGGAAACGTGAAAACTCCTTTTTCGTATAAAATGGTACTGAAAACTGCCAAAATGCTATGTATTTGCTATGCGATCAGGCATTTTGCACATAAAATTGAACTTCATGTATGTGCTAGTGCAAACCGCTAGACTGATCGGGATAATAAAATGCACAAGATTACAATGAAATCAAAACCTGTATATTTTTGAGGATTGATATGGCAAAAATGAAAAAGTTTTGTAAAGATTGAGAAATAAACGAAGTAGGTGTATAAATATGAAATGAAAGGAAACTGGATCAGACTCAATTTATTAAAAATGGCTAGTTTCCGCCAAATTGTCGAAAAAAAATAAGAGCGAAGGTACAAAAATGACAAAATGTGTAGATGTTATATAACTTGCTCGAGAAAAGAAATTATTGAAAAATAAAATCCGAGGAACAACACACGGAAGCAATACAAAACAACTTCGAGAATCAAAATTGATAGGTCAACAAAGAGAGAAAAATTAAATGTGGTACTATCATACCACATGCCTGTCGTAAAACGGACAATATTATTTTAGAGTAAATAATTTTCAGGATGTTTGTTGCAGTATATGCCATTTTTCTGGTACAATTGACTGTAATATAGCCTTATTATAAAAACGCTCCTTTCTTCGTATGAAATGGTACAAAAACTGCCACAATGCTATGTATTTGCTGTGCGATCAGGCATTTTATACATAAAATTAAACTCCATGTATGTGTTCTAAATGCACTTCAGACGGATACAGTTACGATAACATTTTTTGACATTTGTTGTAATTTTTTCTAGGTTAGGTTTTATATCTAAAACGTCTGATAGTGCCTAGCAACCACATAGCATTTTGACAGTTTTTACTTCCAAGAAAGTAATATAGCGTAATATAGCATTGCCATGCCAACGTTATGTTACGGTCTATTTTACCTGAGATTTGGTCCATAAGTGTAAATTACTAATATTCTACCCTTATTAAAAATATTCTCTAATATTTTAAATTACTTTCAATTTATACTAATCTTAATAGTAGTCAATTTAATAATCCCCCAGAAATAAAACAAAAGCGGTTCAAATTGTATATAGGCACAAGATTTTTCAATACTTTTTTGTTGATTATACTAATAATGTAATATTTTTAAAAATGAAGTTATAAATTTATATATTGAGTTTTTGTTTAATTGAGTTAATCATTCAACGAGACTGATATATTCATATAAAATGTGTGCTGAAATATTATAGTTTTAACAATTTTATAGAATTTTTTTTTTGCTAGAAATACATTTGAAAATATTAGTAATTGTTTAAAGTTTAAGTCAAATTGGGATATTTAACTTATGCTTTTATAATTTTATAATGTGATCAATTATTACATGTTGCGGTAATTGTAAGAATACTCTTGCAAAAAAATATTTCAAATACATTTTTGTAGATATATACTATTTGTTATAGTACAATAGAATAATTTAATCAATTCAGTTTACGTTTCACATGTCGAGTGAAGGTTTTTATATAAGCTGCACTGTGAGCGTGATTTGCATTTATTAGCAATTTTCAAATTAGTTAAATTAGTTTTGCTAGAATAAACCACAGTAGAGATAAATTACAAAAGTAGATTAAGTTGTTGTATAGAAGCATTTCTGGTAATCAAATATTTGCGGTCGATACGGATTATCTGCAGAATGCAGAGGAACGCGAATTGTGAGATAATTGGTTTTGGCAACGCAGAAACCACAAAATGTTTTCATAAATGTAATCGTATGATTAATAAAAAATTATCTCGATAATCATATTATAACATGGGCATATTTCAAATTTGTTTAAAAATACTTAGTAAAATAATAGAAACATGAGCGAATACTTACTCCATTTCCTGCTGGTACTGGGAGGTTTGGATTATGAACCAGAGAAGCTGTTCTGTGGAGAAATTCAGACAGAGTTAATACAATTTTAATAATTTTTTTTTCAAATTAAGTAATTTAGGTTTACTATTTTTGTAAATTATTTAAACTAAACATAATTGGAATTTTAGATTAGTCACCAAATTTTGTAATTATTACAAAATTTTCAAAAATTTGTAATTTATGTCATTACATAAGATGATAAAAAATGCAGAATTTATATAATTGCAACTAATTTTGATTTTTGAGTACTATTGGAATTTAAGTCTGATATGGTAGAATTTGAGGTCTATCAGTCTTGAATCTTGAATTTTTGTTAAACAAGATATTGATATATTAATATTGATATGAGACTAAATAGTAGTAACACAAAACAGCCATTAAAACTTCAAATACATGATTAAAAGTTTCATATTTCAAAATAATAACATAAAATAATGAATTTTAAATTTCAAAATAATAAAATTTTATCAAATATATAATAATTCAGAAAAAATTACTGAAACTAATTGCGGGTAAAGTTGCTAATATCGCACTCCCTAAGAATATAATTTTTGACGTTTATTGAATCTTTATTTAGTTGGCTTAAGATTAACAGTTATTAAACATATTATTTTGTTCATGCAATCATAAGTTTCAAAATTTTCAAAAAGATATTTTTGGTACGATGATGACGCCTTAGTCGTACCTACTACTAAAAACTATCGAATGCAGTTTAAACTGCATTGTGACCAACTTTTTTCTAGTTATTAATTATCAAGTAGAAAATAATTATTAGAACCGCACCTAAAATAAAACTATAACAAAAAGTATGTCTACGAGTCAAAATAATGGAGATGGAATTGTTCATAAAGACACTGCTTCTACCCGTTACACTCATTTGTTTTTCATTTTGAGAATAAACTTCATTGTGTTATTTCAATATTTTTTTTATATTTAATCAAATAAATCCATAAAACTTCACTACTTCATAACAATCATAAAAAGCTACTGAAACAACCTAAGAATATTTTATCATTGAATCATGTCTAAAATATTGTAAAAAACAAAGAGTTATTGTTTAATTATCATATGAAGTAAAGCAGAAGTACGATTTAGACTGTGGTACGACTTTAACAACCTTACCATATATGGGAATAATGTGTTGAGATTCCATAAACATATAAAGATCAACTTCTCAAAAACAAATATTTGAGTTACAGGAATGTTTCAAAAATAAACTTTGAAGTAGGCTTGTATTCCAATATTTTACAATAATATATTGATAAAACAATAGATGCAATAGCATCCATAATGGAAAAATTATGTCGTAAAATATACCAAATATCTGAAGACTATGTTACGCTGCTGTTTTCAATTGAGATAGTTCTAAAAGCCGTCAAAATGCTATGTATGTAAAACCTTATCTAGAAAATCCACTAACGCCAAAAAATAATCTTGCCATAAGTTACCATCTTTGTGTTGTGTCTTAATATAAGAGAAATAAATTTTATGTGTGAAACATCTGATCGACAGCAAATACATAGCATTTTGGCAGTTTTTAGTACCATTTTATATGAAAAACGCCCATTTTAGGGCAGAATTGGCTCGTGAATTTTCTGTAACTCAAGGAGTAAAATCGAGTAGTTCAATCGATACTTGAGTTCAAACATCCATTATCAAACTTACGGGACTTCTTTATAGCAAATTCCGTTCGGAATCGGTCCGAAATAATCCGTTGCATTAGTCTGCACTCGGTGCAACAACGGGGGCGGTAGTCTAGTTCTATTGACGTAGCCCTGCACGAATGCATCGGTCGCGTTCTGCAATGCGAAGTGGCTCTCCGATTGTAGACGGTCTTGTATGTTGCCATAACGACCACCTTTGACGCCCTTTATGCCCTCATTCTGTGCCAGACACACACCACACACCAGGAGCAGGACGAAAAACCACATCGGCATGGTGAACAGTTGTCTGGATGGAAATCGGAAATTTGTTAATAGTATTATACTCCGATAATATTTTTCATTTATATTACGACTTACAATTATTTATTTATGGAATATTTTTTTCGAGTAAAATTAAACGATATGATTCTTAATAATAGAGTAAGATATAAGACCAAACGATACTCCAAGAACTCAACTGTAAATATCCTGAAAAAAATAGAAAAAAAATTCTCACGTTGTTTGAAAATTATAAGCTTTTAATTGCAAACCAGAACTTTGGTAAAATTGTAACCATTGTTCGGTTATTGTGGTTATTTTGTAATCATAAAAAACATTGCGAAGACCAAAAATAACTACATAATTTGCCCGAATTTTCAAGAATAAAGTGTCTTTGTTGAAATTAAAATGCGTTGGCAAGATTTACCGAAAGTTGGCACATTTGATCAGGATTGTTTTACAATAAAAATTTCGAGCAAGTAATAAAAACCTAAGAATGACATGATTTTTGATAATGCATTTTATTCAGTCAGTTCAAAGCTTATCGTACGCGAAAGCTGCAATGTGTTACTTTTAGATTTTTATTTTATCACTCGATTTTTTTTAATAGGAAACAACTCAAATTACATGCGCATGGTATATTTTTTTAAAGAAGGGCTTGGCAAAGATGATCGATTTTAAAAAATTTAAATTCATAGCTCAACAAAAAAGGTTATTTTTGAAAAATTTGTGGTAATTGTGCCATTACTTTTGACTACGAATACGGATTCAAAGTTTAAATGAACAAAAATAGTGAAAATTGCCCATAATATAACCAAAAAATGGTAACGATGACATTAAACCTCTAGATTACACTTTTTTTTAATTACTAATATACTAAATTACATAATATTACACTTAAAGCTCATATTTCCAAACAACGCTGTGTAATTTTTTCTATATTTTTTTTTCAGGACAGCTACGTTCAATGCCCCGTTCAATGTATATGTATATATGAATATGTAAACCATAGAATAAAACCTTAAAATTTACTATTTCATTTTAAAACTGATTAAATAATGTTTACTAAGAGCGTTAATTATTTGTTATTTCAATTGAAACTAATTTTAACGTTAATTCAAGGACGAGAAGGAAAATTTCATGAGTCAAATATTGCAATTGTAATTCAGTAGAACATCATTAAAAGTTATTGTTTGATACTTGAAAAAGTTTATCCATCTATAATTCTATAGTTTTGCGTGCAAGTAAAACTTTAAGCATTATAATATATTGGCTTGCGTTGGTTTATTTGTGAATGTTTAGATTTTCTATAAACTTTCAGCAATTAGTGCAAGCAATTCAAAAATAGTTACTAGTAGTAACTTACTACCTACATGGAAGAGAATATAAATCACTTTTGAAATATTGGGGCCAAACGCTTAAATGCACAGCAAATAAAAGCTCTTTGACAGTTTTTACAACCAATACGATACGATGTACAATTATAATATAATATAATTCTAAGCAGTATATAATTGCAGTGTACTACTTATCCACAATGACTAGATTTTTTCACAATGAATGATTTTTTGTGTTGGTCTTGAGCTTTTGTTCTGTAAGTAATCTATCACGAACGTTGTTTTCTTTATGAAAATTATGTTTATACCATTATTTACAATAGAAAATATCATCAATTTTATTAAAATGATAAACAAGTTCAAAGAAAAAAAATTAAATCTAATCATTTTCGATAACAAAATAAAGCTTTTGTTATAAAAATCTATTTGTTCAATAATAATGCATTTTCATCCAAATTACAATACAGGACGCAATATATTTGAAACAGTTGTATAAAACAGAATAGATACTATATAAAATATTTGCTTAATAAAAACATACCGTATGAGCTATTGAATCAAAAGATCATCCGAAACACTGCCAAATCTACTACACAACTATTTTTGAGTTGAAAATTGAATCGTTACATTAAAAATAATCTATCAATTTAATTATAACTAATTATTGATATGCTGCGAATGATTCGATAAAACATTTGGTACACTGTAAAATATTTTCTTGTGTATACGAGTTTAGTGAAATTCCGATACACTGTATGGTTGTTTGTGTTAGAAAACGATTACAAACTATAAAAATTTATTAAATTTATTATTCAGTTGGAAAATTACTATAACATCTATATCGAGATTTCTATTTTGCCTATATTTAATCTTTTTTCGACATAAAAAATGACAAACCTTAACAGTACCTAAAAAAAAATGATTTTAAATTGTACTCAAATATGCAAATTGATTATTACATTATATTTTTATTTACATATAAAAATGCACAAGGAGTAACATGAAAATCCTACATTAATTAAATTTTAAAATGTTATTTTAAATATTTTCATAGTCGCTTCATCTGGCATTGTACACCTAAATATCTATTAAATCCTCATGTCATAACTTATTTTTATTAGATTTCAGAAACATTTGTTAATAATGTCTATATTAGATTTATTAATAATTTTGATTTTAGATATTCAGACTCAGGTCTAAATTTTACATAATTTTAAATAGTTTAAATATTTAAGAAGTATATTAAAGGTTTTTTAATTTAATTTATTTCCAGATTTATAGCTTTTTGACTATGATAATCCTCTTCTGTTTCCTTTATTTTGCAAAACTTTAAATGCATTTTTTTCGATACTGTCATTTTCGGTACGATTTCTCACCTCTATTGGACTGATTTACTTGAATTTTTAACAGGTTCTTATTTATAGACTTCTTTTATGTATGAGCTATGTTTGTTCCCAAATTACTAGTTAAATACAATGGATATTTTAAAAAAATGTTGATTTTTTTAAAACTAAATCAATTTCAAGCAGTCGCTATTATGTAAAAAAATATTTCTAAATTGCCTGTAGGTTATACGATGGCGATATTATTATAGCTTAATAATAAATGAATATTTTTTCAGATCATTGAAGGGCTAAAATTAATCATGGGTATGATCGGGTGCCTATGTTTTAAGACCACCCACTTTGTTAGTTTCCCAAACTAAAAACTTATGACTATACTTAATTCTTATCTTTTTCATTCTCAGAATAATTATTAATAATTTGTAAATAAAAATATAGTAAAAATTTTGTTTGCTTTTTTTTAATACCTTCTAAAAATCGCATATAGTTCATGCCTCTAAACCAGAATACCCCCATAATTGACTGATAAAATTCTAGTAACAAATAATAAATAATAAAATATAAATTAATTGAAATAAATTTCGCCTTGATGATTTCAAATCAATAATTTCTATTTATAATAATTACACAGCTTTATGTAAATATGTAACTGGTTATAAAATATATTTAAAAGGAAAGTTATTTTCTATACAACTAAAAAAATATTACAAACTCCGCATTATTGCTTTGTGAATAAAGTAAATTTTCGTTTTATTTAGTCAAAATATTTTTAGCAGTGTAAGTACGCCCACGATTATTCAGATAATTTGTAGTATCATGCAAACGCCTACAATTATTGGAAATATGAAACCAATGCAAATATTATCTAATAAATATACATAACATGAAACCCTAATATTTGATCCAAATTTCTACATTATGTATTTGAACTTCTAACTAGGATTTCACAGTATAACACTTTTTATACAGTAAAATATTGGTTTATTATAATATATTTTTATTAATTAATGATACAAGTAATTGTTACAAATTATTCCTTAATTATTGCTTTAATTTATAATTTATATGCTAATAATTATGATTTTCTAAAGAAATGGAATAATTTTTATATATTGGAATTAAAACTGAGAAAAGCACGAATCAATTAAAACATGTGATACAAATTCAGTTTCAAACATTTTAATAATTAAAGCATAAAAAGTTAATAGCAGTTTATCTTACTTTACTTTACTCTATTATTACAAATACAAATTTCTACAAAATTAGAAAGTTAAAATGCTAATTTATAAGACTTAAACTGAATAATAAATCTAATAATAATCATTGCATATTAGTGGGCGATCTATAAAATAAAATTTGATATCAATTTTAATGCGTTAGAAATTTTTAATACTTGTAACTTACTTTGAACTAACTTACTAACTTTTGAGCTGCTTTTAACTTTTTATTATTAATTAGAGAAATCATGAAAATTCTTATAATACACGTATGTTATATTATGCTCGAAGCAGGATCGAACCCGGGACGTCTGATTCAGCCTTCTTCAACCTATCTACGAGCGAGCCCATATTAATAATATTACTATAAAAATGCAATATTATTGTGATTTAATTAATTGAATGATGACCATATTAAGTGTCGAAACGTATAGATAAATAATCCAAAACTAATTACCATATATAATTTCTAACCTGTGGGGCACCTTTCTGGAGGGTTACAAAGGATGCGTATAGCTGTTTCCAAAATACTATTTCCGAAAATAAACCAAAAAAATTGGAATAATATAAAAAAGAATGAATATTTTTTTATGTATATTTTAACTTAGTGTTGTATATTAATTTCTAGCCTGGAATAAAAATATTAAGGGAGCGCAACAACTTTGTTTAAGTACGAAGAGGGGCGGTATGAAAAGGTTGGAAACCATTGGTATATTAGTATGCAACTGTACATGTATATCATATATATACCCAATTATGTAAATCTAGTGATTTGAATAATTGTGTTTATTTGAAAGGAATATATTTTGTTGCGTTCTATCAGGCATAATTACTTATTGGTTTTCAAGTTGTTCACGATGTTAGTTTGAAACTATATGTTTGATAAGTTCCCCGAGTTTTTCGGGAAGTAATTTGGATTTTTAGCCTATAGAATTGTTAAAATTAACCATACCAATTATTTGCCTTGAAATTTTCTGATAACTGATGAATATTTTTTATTAGAATTTAAGTAAGAACATAATATTTATGCTTTATCCGAATAATAAGTATGAAGAAGTATTGTGCGCAGTATATTCATTAATAAATATCCAATTTATAAACTATTTACTACAAAAGATAACAATAACACAGGTCCATAAAAATTGTTGTGCGTGCTGGGTGTGCGACATATGTTGTCGAATGTGTTGTTTACCGCTGAACATGACTCTACAGTCCAAAATGGGGTACAAACTGCATAAAGAACAGAAAAAGCCAAAAAAACGACAAAACCTTCGATCTAGTAATTTTACTGCATGATAATCAAGATCTTAAATTTTCTGTCGATTCCTTGCCTGTTCTTCTTAAAGGACCTCTACAACGAATTTTCGCAATTTTACTTCTTTTGAGAACTTTTTTGTACTATCCAGCAGTGATCGGCAAACATATTTGCAGTTAACTGAAAATACATTTGCATATTATTACTAGATTCTACGAAAAGTACCCACCAAAGATGCAAAATATTGCGGAAGTCCGTTGTTCAAGCCATTTAAGGAGAAAAGGATCACGAAACGATACAAATTATAAGATTTTATTTATCACACAGAAAAATTATTAGGTCGGCGATTTTGCAATTTTTTTGGTTTTTTCCTCTCCTGCAGTTTGACCCCCAATTTAGACTGTAGAATCTTGTTCAGCAGTAGACAACACATTGGAAAACATATGTCCCACACCCAGCACAGACTTTTTTATTGACATGTGTGATTCATCAAAATAACAAATATTTATATTAACCCTTATCACTGATTAAAAACCAATTACTAGCAACTCAGTGGTGCATTCTGACAAAAAGTACTGGCCAAAAACATGATATTATTGTGTGTATGTTATGCAATTGTTTAATAAGAATTTCTGGACAATGAAGAGCATACATTTACAATATTATCTAAATTTATTTTCTGCAGCATGTTGAACTTTAAAGTAATTTTCAACAGACATAGCGGGTTGATTCCACTGTCTTATAATTAACTAGCGTCGTGATAGTTTTTGTATCATTCAACAGAAAAGTAGAATTATCGATTTTTGTAAGCTTCTGTCTTTTTCCATGAAAATTTTGCTTTTCCTATTGCTCATATATTTTACCGTATTAAAAAAAGATATTTTTTATTAGATTGATTTATGAAATATTTAGGGACTGATTCTCTTAAAAATCGGCCAATGGCAAACTGCATAGCAATCATATGGCATTTATACAGTATTTAGTACCTACATAACATTAGCCCCATATTATTTTTAAAAAGTATTTTTATATTATAATGTTTATTGGTATATATCAATATTTGTAAATTCTTAAGTGCGGTCGCCCATAAAATTTTAAAAATTAAATGCGGCCTAATAGATCTATACAGTAATAAGAGACTGTTCTTTTTTCAAAATTTACTATTAGTCATTATAAAAGTATTTGCTATCTTCTTTCATTGTATTTTTTTTTATAAAAATAGTAAAACGACTGAGCAATTCATAAAGCAAATTTTTTTATCAAAAATGCCAGAAGCGTATAAAAATCGATTATTATACTTTTCTGTGTAATGATATAAAAACTATCACGATGCTAATTAATTATAATGACAGTGGAATCGACCCGCTATGTCTTTTGAAAATTACTTTAAACTTCAACATGATGCTGAAAATAAATTTAGATCTTATTGTAAATGTATGTTCTACATTGTCCACAAATTCTTATCAAACAAAATGCATAACATACACAATAATATCATGTTTGTAGCAGGTACTTTTTCATCAGAATGCAGCACTGAATTGCTAGTTCATTGTTTTAAAATCAGGTCGAGTGGTAAGGGTTAATAATCTACAATTCTTGATATTCACTAATAACTGAATTTCAATGAAAACTGAGTCACGTTGTATTCAATCAGTAGGGTGGAAAAAATTTGAAATTAGTACTATAGATAATTTAATTGCCAAATATTAATATAAAAATTGCATAAACTTATAATTTTTTATCATACCTTAACCTACAA